GAGTCCTCATGATTCTGAATGGCCTCCTTTTAAAAGAGGCCCCAGAAAGCTAGCACGTCCCTCCTACCATGTTGAGGACACAGCGAGAAGTTGCCATTCCGTAAAACAGGAAGTAGGACCATTTCAGACACTGCATCTGCTGATGTCTTGATCTTAATGTTCGAATTCCTCTCAAATTCATATTTTGAAATCTAATCACCAATGTGATGGTTTAGAAGGTGGGCCTTCGGAAGGTGATTAGGTTATGAGGGCAGACTTATCATGATTCTTAGACTTCACAGTATCCAGAACTTTGAGAAATACATTTCTGTTGTTTATAAGCTACTTACTTCATGGTATTGTGTTACTTCATATTTAACCTGAATGGACTAAAACATGCATTTTATCTTGCATTTAATTATGTGTTTTCCTGAAATTATAAAAAGTTTGTAATGACTGTCTAGATCAATTTGTATATACATATAAAATGTATTTAATTATTAACTTATTCATAAGACATTTATTACATTTTATTTTTTATTTTATTTTATTTATTTATTTATTTTTTGAGACCGAGTCTTGCTCTGTCATCCAGGCTGGAGTGCGGTGGCATGATTTCAGCTCACTGCAACCTCTGCCTCCCAGCTTCGAGCGATTCTCCTGCCTCAGCCTCCCGAGTAGCTGGGATTACAGGCGCCCACCACCATGCCTCGCTAATTTTTGTATTTTTAGTAGAGACAGGGTTTCACGATGTTGGATAGGCTGGTCTTGAACTCCTGATCTGAGGTGATCTGCCTGCTTCGGCCTCCCAAAGTGCTGGGATTACAGGCTTGTGTCTTTTATAAGTAGTGCTTGTATGTGTGCTCAAGTTAAGATGTTGTTTAATGCTTCATAAAACTGTATTTATGAGCAATATGGAATTTATATTTTCAGATCTTTTTTTAATGCAGATGTAGATCAGGAATATATTATATACAAATTTAAAAAGCTATTATAGCAACAACAAAAGCAAAAAAGCACTCCTGAACTGTGTGAACTGGAAATGTCTTCAAAGTAATAAGTGAGGTTTTTTTTTTTTTTTTTTTGTAATTCCTGACCTCTACCTGTAATCTTCCCAGATTGAAAGGGATAAAGTCAGCACTACCTGCACATCAACAACTGTAAAGGATTTAGGCAAAAATGTAGCTTTTAAAATATATTTTTCAAATAAATTACTTCCCCTCTAATACTAATACAGAGGAGAATAAAACTTGAGTACCAATAGGGAGGAATGACTTATGAAATCATGACATTTGGGGAGTTAGGAAAGAGAGCGAACTTCCATTTAACCTCCTTTCTGGCTCTCACGTGTTTTAAAAAAAAATTGCCAAGGCAGTTTCATTTAACCAGCTGATTTTAAATTGCTCCTTGGGGCCGATTTTGTAAAACTTCTTTGATATTTTATGGTTCTACAGTTTTATGAGCACCATAAATGCCAGAAACCTTAGAAATGGCATAGCATTTCAACTGGAACATCTTTTCTTAGAATCAGGGTGAAGCGAAGTTACTCACTTCTGAAATCTATTAACAGGTTCACTCGTTTAAATTTCACCAGGCTATCTAACATGGTCATTGGTTTAGTGTAACATTACCCTGAGTACTTTTATTATAGATCTTCATTACTTAAATGTTCCTTTTTTTCTTGAGCAAATAATCTATGACCTACACAGAGTACAGCACTTTCAGGTGTCTGTCTACTAAATTAAAACCTTAGCAATACATCTACGAGCACAGTGAAGCTACTCTTCAGAAGGCACTAATCACACAAGTATTGAGGATTGATACCCCAGGGAGACAGCATTTAATTTTTTTTGTACCAGGATACAAAGCAATTTAAAAAATTAAACATTTTTAACACTGTGGTATAAGAAAGGCCAGTAGTTAAATGTGAACATCAGATAGCACAAGCAGAATAAAATGGACCCAAGTGGCTGTCTCTAATGTGTTCTGGTATATTTAACAAGTTTCACAACTAAAATTCCTTAGAACAAGATATTAAAAAGGCAAACATTTTATTCTTATTCTTGAAAAAAAAACCAAGATGCCGCTGTTTTCCATGTTTTAAAAAAACTTCCTTTAAATCAAATTCCTCTTTCTATATCTTATATTTTTAAAGGAATTATAGCAAGGCAAGTGATCATAATAGATATTATGTTCTTTATTATAAGTGAAATCAATGAAGCTGGGCTCTAAGACTTTTCAGTATTTCTGGTTTTGATAATAGGACAAAAATTGATTATCCTAAACCTAAATATTGCTATATAGGACAAGAAAACAGTCTCCAGATATCCCTGCAATGCTTTTGCCAAATTTAACTTTTAAAACATGATATACATTTCACAAATACAGTATTGAAGTTTGCATAAATGGAAAACTCTCACAAAAGACTGAAGAGAGAATCATTTTAACCTCAAGAATAAAGCTATTAATATATGTATGCAATATTCCGAATAAATAATGTACAAGATAAAACAGCATTAGTGGAGACAGTAACACATATTTCAGATTAGCTTTCATGATCTGGATGTTTGAAGAATAAAAATAATGAACTGGAGCCACATTCTATAAATTCCAAAAAAGTTATTTCCACCATTAGTCAATATAAGTACAATAGAGCAATGGGAAGGGGTGCTCTTAAGTTGATAACACAAAATTATTTGTCCTTAAACACACTGAAGCAATGTGTAGCTTTCCATGTTGCATTAGTGAAGCAGAGAAATAAGGAGTAACACACAAGATAGTGGATATTATCTAGCCTTTTTCTACTTGTCCAGAAACATATGACTGAAGTGACATTCTTAGTAAATTGATAAATATTAGCTAAATCTTTTTCAAAATCACAAGACAATAAAAAGCATTTATGGGTAAGTAAAAATAGTACTAGCAACCACAATCGCAAACAAAGACAGTAACAATGCCTATATCTATTGAGAGGCAGGCATTAACTATTAACCATCTCATTTAATCATCTCAGTAACTGTAGAGCAATATTACTGTCATCATATAATGGGTTCATCTTGTCTGCTACCCAGAATAAAGCCAATGCATTAAGAACAGCAGATTTGTGCAGCACAGAAAGTCTAATTAACACAGGCTAGCCAAGCATTAGACTGAGTGTATTAGGTAAATCAGCCTCCCTGAGAACTCAGAGGCCAGGGTTTTTATTGATAATTTGGTGGAAGGGGGTGAGGAAATGGGTGCTGCTGATTGGTTGAGCATGAAGCATAAGCGTGTGAAAAATGGTGCTCATACCCTGAATTAGCCTCTGGATGGGGATGACAGGGTCAGCTGAGTCATGAGTCACAGGTCTGGGGAGTGTAGTCAGTCAGTCTCCAGAATGCAGAAGTCTAAAAATATCTCCAAAGACCAATCTCATATTCTACAATAGTGAAGTATCTATAGGATTACTTGGAGAAGTCACAAATTTTGTGACCCCCGGCCATAAGACTGCCCAGCTGTAAGGGATTATAGAAAAGCAAGCTAGAGAACAATGGCTAATAATCCTTCAAATATGCCTACATTTTAGCAGAATTCAGGCCCCTCCCATAATCCTAATCTTGTGGCTTTTCATTAGTTTTACAAAGGCAGTTTCAGTCTCTGAACAAGGAGGGGTCAGTTTTAGAGAGGAACTGTTGTCACCCTTGCTTTAAAGTTACATGATAAAATCAATTCCTCCTATGGTTATCTTGGTTTAGGCCAAGATCAGTGAGGACAGCCAGCCTGTGAGGCTAGAAGCAAGATGGAGTCAGCCATGCTAGACTTCTTTGTGGTCATACTCTTTGCAAAGGTGGTTTCATTATTAACAGCATTTTACAGATAAAATCAATAGGTTGAATAACATGCTTACACTGATAAAGCTGGTAAGTGACTGTAGTCAAGATTAGAACATGAGTCAGTTTTATTATAACTTCTTTTTAGTATAAGCACACCAAACTGATTTTTGTAATGTTAGCATTTTATCAAGCACACAGTGTATTTTCCTAATTAATTTGATAAGTACAGAAGCCTGTGAGATAAGCAGTAATCATTCTTCCTATTTCAGAAATGATACAAGAGAGATTTAACAAGTTTTAACTGATAGACACTGCCACAAAACTGGTGATACCTGAGACAGGGTTTATATTCAGGCTTTCTGATTCCATATATAACGTTGTTTCAAATATTCCACCATAAAGAACGCTTCAGAAAAATGGTTCTCAACTTTCCTTTAATACACCTATTGTAATGCAAAGGCCTAGGGCCCACCATGATAGAAACAAAAGATACAATTTGTTTTATAAAATAGAACTTACTTACCTGATGACAATTTGATAATATATTTACTATTTGTTACAGAATTTTATGATATAAAACTCACAATTGTGTTGGCAATGCTTCTTATTGTTATGACTTTAAGGTGCTGTATGTTCTAATATATAGTTCCATACTTGCTTAACTATGTAATAATACCATTAAGTATTTATTATAATGTAAAATGTTCTCAATAGTTGAATGCTTATTATATCTTAGTTATAAGATAAAATAAATACAAAAGTACAATTCTTTATCAGATATAAGTGTTATTATAGTTATAAGATATAAAACTTACTATATCTTATAAATAATTATACTTATTTTTGTTTCATCTTATAAATAATTTGTCATGTTTAGTATTGATATCCCCATTTCACAAAAGGAAAGTGTTGATAAAAGAAATTAAGTTAATATCATAGAACAAGTAAATAGTAAAAACAACTTAAAATTATGCTTTTAACCATCATGCTATATTGTCAAAGATCATAAATATGTGTGTGTGCATGCACATGTGTATGCATGTATATGAATATGTATATGTATATAAAAATTATGCTCCACTAGAAAAAACTTGGAAAGGGTAATAACTAAAACAAAGAATGTGAACTTCAAAGGAAAAGTGGGTAGCTATTCAAGAGTAGCAATATTAGCCTTGCTAAATAGAGATAAGCAGAAGATGCAATAGAAGATTGTGTAGCATGAAACTCCATTTATTAAATCTACTGATTTACAGCTCAGTCTATGCTTATTTGCAGAATATGACTGTTACTATCAGGCTCCAAATCCAGCTTACTTGAATCTTCATTCAGTCTCAGGAACCAATCTCTCTTTCCTCCTAGGATCATATTTTCCAGCCACCTGCTAAACATAGCGTCAATTTGCTTGATGTGATCATATTTTGTAGCACAATATATTTAGTCACTACTTTCAGAAAAATATCATATTATCATATAAACATTTTAGCCTAGAAAAATATTTTACACAGTACAGTGTTCCTCCCATGATACAAAGTCAATTAATGATAAAATATGATTACATTTATAGAAATTTGCTTTGCAACTCACTTTGCAATAGTTACTATTTAAAAGAAATACATGAGATGCTGAAATTTTCTAATTATACATAATATGTAATATAAATATACATTTTATATAATGTAAATGCTCATATATGTAAGAAACAAGAAATATGGAGAATACTTATGACAAAATTTGACTAAAAGTCATAAAGATAAATTTAAGATAAATTTATTTAAAAATCTTTCCTTCAACAAATTATAGGTTTGATACCATTTTTCTTACATTTTCTGGCAAAGTAGTAGGAAAGTGCTGATAGAATGGAAGAAATTTTAAATTTTTCATGTTATTTTGATAAAATAGAGTCAAGAATATCCAGATACATTTTAAACAAGAAGAGCTGTGCCCTATTAGTCATCAAAATGTATAAAGTGAGGAAACGGCAGGACCTAGACTGAACCCCTAGTGTTTCAGTAACATTAACAATGTTCCTTCGGCAGTATGCTAACTTTTGCTTTTGACTCAATAGGCAATGAGTGATTCACAAGTTTATGCTTTATTGTAAGAAATTTACACATGCATAATCAAACAAACATTCACAATACAATTATTAAAGGCAATAGGGTGTAATGAACCACAGCAGAGGCTCAGGAGACCAATCCACTTAGAGAGGAACTCAAGCAAGTATGGAAGTCTCACCCGGGTGCTGATCAGTGATAGGTGAAGCTGCTCTTCTATGGGCAGTCCTTCAGAGATACAGCTCCCAAAGTCAGGAGAAAGCTTTCAGATTTCTCACAGGTCAAGATTCCAAAATCTTCTAGGAAATTGCCTGTCCCTTGTTCTTTTATGATTCTCCACAGGTGTGGTCACTGTCTCACTGTTGTTACCTCAGCCACTGGGTCTCAAGTGGCACTGAGCCACAGCAGGTGTTATCTCATCACCTTAGTCTGTTATACATATGCTTATCATGGGGAGTAGGCACACCACATGGCCACAGCAGAAGCAAGAGAGAAGTGGCGGAGATGCTGCACACTTTTCAATGACCAGATCTTGCAAGAAGTCACTCACTATCTTGAGGACAGCACCAAGGAGGTAATGTTAAACCATTCATGAGAAATCCGCCCTCAGGATCAAATCACCTTCCACCAGGCCCCACTTCTGACAGTGGGGATGCAACTGACCATAAGATTTGGGTGGAGACACAAATCTAAACCATATCAGCCATAAAAAAGTCCTATAAGCTTTCCAAGAGTAGCTTTTCTTAAGAGAAAAAAGGGAGGGAGGGTAATATGATATATCCTGATATATAAGTACATACAGTTATGTGTGTGTTTAATCTAGATATAAAGATTTTGATCTGGACTCTTCAACCAGGATATTAAAAGTTCAGGCTCACTGTCCTAGATACTGCTGTATCTAGAAAATAATGTACATATAGTAATTGTACATCACTGACAGTGCAGTGACAGCACAATGTCTTTTTATCTGTAAAATGTCAGTCTGTATAAAAACAACATTCATTTGCCAATACTTTAGCATTTATCTTCCTTAATGTAAAATCAATATTTCAAAGTAAACTAATTGCACTAGGCATTAACTAACAAAAGCATCTTGTCTTTTCAAGTGACTTAGAAATAAAAGGATGTTCAAGAACAAGTCAGCTATGAGTAAATGTTAATTGGACTGGTAGTAATTTATGAAATTTTTACATGAAATAAGTGATTGAATTGACACAATTATAATATTCTGCTGCAACATTTGCAATAGCATTCTTATGTTCAGCTATTGTAACTGGTGAATGGAGAATACTAGAGGCTTATCTAGCTTCTAATGTTTGGGGAAACAAGGATCCACCTGCTTCCTTAAGACAAGAGAGGACAGCATAGCCACTATAGTTGATGGAACTATTATTGGAACTAGTGGAACACCAGGGATTCTATCTATGTCCTGCTGCTCACTACACAGAATGTCAATCACTGAGTTAGTGAGTATTGCCAGGGATAAAGGCTTTAATGTGGTGCTGCAGTCATGCCAATGAGAGGTAAAATCTCAAATCTATCTCCTTGACCAACTAAATCAATGGGTTTTATATAGTAGGGAAGGTGGCAAAACAGGAATTATGAAGGGGTAAGGAAACAATCATGATGGATAAGAGGTTGGGTTTCTCATTGTCTGGACACGGTGATCTGGTCAATTTCAGTACCGTGCCTGAGGGTTGATTCCCTAAGGAAGTCACTGAAATGAGCCAAATTTGAGTTTCAAGTTTCAAGACAGAGGGCCAATTTCTATATTTATTCAAAAATCTGTAAATATTATTTATATGGGACTATTGGAGTGGTTTCAGAAGTCTTTTGATTCAAGTGGAACAAGCTCAAATTAAAAAAAAAGACTTTTTATTGTCTTGTTTCTGTTTTCTTTATTTCTTAAAAAAAAAGGGATACATGTGCAGAATGTGCATGTTTGTTACATAGGTACACGTGTGCCATTGTGGTTTGCTGTACCTATTGACCCATTCTCTAGGTTATCTCCCTTCAGCCCCTACCCCTCAACAGGCCCTGGTATGTGTTGTTCCGGTCTCTGCGTTCATGTGTTCTCAATGTTCAACTCCCACTTATGAGTGAGAACATGCAGTGTTTGGTTTTCTGTTCTTGTGTTAGTTTCCTGAGGATGATGGCTTCCAGCTTCATCTATGTCCCAGCAAAGGATACCATCTCATTCCTTTTTACGGCTGCATAGCACATAGCATTTCATGGTGTATATGTGCCACATTTTTAAAATCTAATCTATCATTGATGGGCATTCAGGTTGGTTCCATGTCTTTGCTATTGTAAACAGTGCTGCAATAGACATACGTGTGCCTGTGTGTTTATAGTAGAATAAGTTTCATTCCTTTGGGTATATATCCGGTAATGGGATTGCTGGGTCAAATGGTAGTTCTGGTTCTAGATCCTTGAGGAATCACTATACTGTCTTCCATAACGGTTGAAGTAATTTATGTTCCCACCAACAGGGTAAAAGTGTTCCTATTTCCCCACAGCTTCTCCAGCATCTATTGTTTCCTGACTTTTTAATAATCGCCATTCTGACAGGCATGAGATGATATCTAATTGTGGTTTTGCATTTCTCTGATGATCAGTGATGTTGAGCTTTTTTTTTTGTATGTTTGCTGGCTGCATAAATGTCTTATTTAGAGAAGTGTCTGTTCATATCCTTCGCCCACTTTTTGATGGGGTTGTTTTATTCTGATAAGTATGTTTAAGTTCCTTGTAAATTCTGGATATTAGACCATTGTCAGACGAGTAGATTGCAAAAATTTTCTCCCATTCTGTAGGTGGCCTGTTCATTCTGATGCTAGTTTCTTTTGTTGTGCAGAAGCTCTTTAGTTTAATTAGATAACATTTGTCAATTTTGGCTTTTGTTGCAATTGCTTTTGGCATTTTTGGCATGAAGTCTTTGCCCATGCCTACATCCTGAATGGTACTACATAGGTTTTCTTCTAGAGTTTTTATGGTTTGGGTTTCACATTTAAATATTTAATCCACTTTGTGTTAATTTTTATATAAGGTATAAGGAAGGGGTCCAGTTTGTTTTCTGCATATGGCTAGCCAGTTTTCCCAGCACCATGTACTGAATAGGAGATCCTATCCCCATTGCTTGTTTTTGTCAAGTTTGTCAGAGATCAGATTGTTGTAGATATGTGGTGTTATTTCTGAGGTCTCTGTTCTGCTCTACTGGTTTATGTATCTAATTTGGTACCAGTACCATGCTATTTTTGATAATGTAGCCTTGTAGTAGAGTTGGAAGTCATGCAGCATGATGCCTCCAGCTTTGTTCTTTTTGCGTAGGATTGTGTTAGTTATACGGGGTCTTCTTTGATTCCATATAAAATGTAAAACAGTTATTCTGATTCTGTGAAGAATGTCATGGTGGTTTGATGGGAATAGCATGGAATCTATAAACTACTTTGGGCAGTATGGCCATTATTTGCGATACTGATTCTTCCTATGCATGAGGATGGAATATTTTTCCATTTGTTTGTGTCCTCTCTTATTTCCTTGAGCAGTGGTTTGTAGTTCTACTTGAAGAGGTCCTTTGCCTCCCTTGTTAGCTGTCTTCCTAGGCACTTTATTCTCTGTGGCGATTGTGAATGGAAGTTCATTCATTATTTGCCTCTGCTTGCCCATTGTTGATGTAAAGGAATGCTTGTGATTTTTGCACATTGATTTTATATCCTGAGGTTTTGCTGAAGTTGCTTATCAGTTCAAGAAGTTTTTGGGCTGAGACGATGGTGTTTTCTAAATATATAATCATGTCATCTGCAAACAGACACACTTGATTTCCTCTCTTCCTATTTAAATACCTTTACTTCTTTGTCTTGCCTGATTGCCTTAGCCAGAACTTTTAACTCTATGTTGATTAGGAGTGGTGAGAGATGACATGCTTGTCTTGAACCAGTTTTCAAAAGGAATGCTTCCAGCTTTTGACCATTCAATATAATATTGGATGTGGGCTTGTCATAAATAGCTCTTATAATTTTGAGATATGTTCCATCAATACCAAGTTTATTGAGTCATTTTAACTTGAAAATATGTTGAATTTTATCACAGGCCTTTTCTGCATCTATTGAGATAATCATGTGTTTTTAAAATTTGGTTCTGTTTATGTAATGGATTAAGATTATTGATTTGCATATGTTGAACCAGTCTTGCATCCCAGGGATGAAGTAGACTTGATCATGGTGGATAAGCTTTTTGATGTGCTGCTGGATTTGGTTTGCTAGTATTTTATTGAGGATTTTCACATTGATGTTCACCAGTAATATTAGCCTGAAGTTTTCTTTTCTTGTTGTGTCTTCCCAGTTTTGGTATCAAGATGATGCTGTCTTCATAAAATGAGTTAGGGAGGAGCTCCTCCTTTTCAATTGTTTGGAATAGTTTCAGAAGAAATGTTACCAGCTCATCATTGTATTTCTGGTAGAATTCAGCTGTGAATCTGTCTGATCCTAGGCTTTTTTTTTTTTTTTTTTTTTTTTTTGGTTGGTAGGCTATTAATTACAGCCTGAATTTCAGAGTTCATTGTTAGTCTATTCAGGGATTCAATTTCTTACTGGGTTAGTCTTTGTAGGGTGTATGCATCCAGGAATTTATTCATTTCTTCTAGATTTTCTACTTCATTTGTGTAGAGGGGTTTATAGTATTCTCCGATGATAGTTTGTATTTCTGTAGAATCAGTGGTGATATTCCCTTTATCATTTTTATAGAGTCTATTTGATTCTTCTCTCTCTTCTTCTTTATTAGTCTAGCTAGCAACCTATTTATTTTGTTAATTTATTCAAAATCTATCTCTTGGATTCATTGATTTTTTGGAGGGTTTTTCGTATCTCTATCTCCTTCAGTTCTTCTCAGGTTTTAGCTTTTCTTGTCTTCTGCTAGCTTTTGTATTAGTTTGCTCTTGTCTCTCCGTATCTTTTAATTATGAGGTTAGGGTGTCAATTTGAGATCTTTCGAGCTTTTTGATGTAGGCATTTAGTGCTACAAATGTTCCTCTTAACACTGCTTTAGGTGTGTCCCAGAGACTCTGGTATGCTGTCTCTTTGTTCTCATTTATTTCAAAGAACTTCTTGATTTCTGCCTTAGTTTCATTATTTGCCCAGGAGTTATTCAAGAGCAGGTTGTTTAACTTCCATGAAATTGTGTGGTTTTGACTGAGTTTCTTAATCCTGACTTCTAATTTGATTGCACTGTGGTCTGAGAGACTGTTCGCTAAGATTTCAGTTTATTTGCATTTGTGGAGAAGTGTTTTACTTTCAATTATCTGGTCAATTTTGGAATAAGTGTCATGTGGTGCTGAGAATAATATATATTCTGTTGATTTGGAGTAGAGAGTTCTGTAGACATCTACTAGGTCCACTTGTTCCAGAGCTGAGTTCAAGTCCTGAATATCCTTGTTAATTTTCTGTGTCATTGATCTGTCTAATATTGACAGTGGGGTGTTGAAGTCTCCCACTATTATTGTGTGGGAGTCTAAGTCTCTTTGTAGGTCTCTAAAAACTTGTTGGATGAATCTGGGTGCTCCCATATTGGGTGTATAAA